CACACACACACACACACACACACACACACACACACACACACACACCTTTTTCAGCTGGAAACCTAGAAACAATTAGAGCACAGCCCATCTGTACCCCAGCTCATTGCCTGCCTTTGATCTATATCCATTAAAGCTACTGCCTCTCAATCTGCCTATCTCAAAATTGAACATTTTAATTGATCCAGCATTCCGCAGTCCTCTCCCAGGAAGAAGGGTCTAAATTTCTACTAGTCTTTACGTGAGGAGCAAAGTAACTCCTTGATTCACTCTCCTGAATGGCTCTGTTCTTCAGTTTTTAGATGCTGCTTCTCAGCTCTGTCCTTGTTCCAAAGGATCTCATTTCTCTATCTCGGCTCGATTCCCTTTTTATTTTGAATATCTCAACAGGTTTCCTTGGAGCCTTTGAAGCCCTGGGAAATAGAAAACCAACTTGAGCAGCCTGTCCTAATCAGTGATCCCTCAGGAAAGGGCTCTGCATCTGATTCCCCTGTCCATCTCTGTAATCCGCAAGTAATATTATCAATGTAATGTGTCTCCCGCTTGGTATTCTGAATTGACACAATCCTCTGTACTAAGATTTTTGTGCTACATTGCACACTGCCTTTATTCACTGAGCTGTTGGTGTCTTACCTTTGTACCTGTTAGATGTAGTGAGCAGACTGTGTGTGTCTCTGGCTTAAATTGTTAGTGAGCAAATATCCAAAATGACTTATTTTTTCTCTTTTTCATATTCGAAACATTTTACATTTGAGAGAGAATTCGAAGCACCAGAATTTTATACTGTATAACTTTATCTCCATAGCCCACTCTTCAGTTGCTGTGGTTCAATGTCATGAAAGTTTGTTTTTTTTTCCCCTGCACTCCATTTCGGCTTTGATAGCTGTTTCAAAGCCTCTGGCCCTTTCTCCCCGCCTCCTCATTAGAAGAGAGTGAGGGCTCACCACCTAGTTGCGTGAGTGGGTGTCATGGATTTCCAAGCCTCCTGTATTAGCACCTTGCATATCTACAAACCTCACGTAGAGGGAGAAGAATTGCAGATGGTTGGGAACATCACCCCCCTGGCAGTTCCCCTTCAGTCCCACACCATCCTGGCTTGGAAATACATCACAGCTCATTCATTTTTCACTGGGTCATAATCCTGGAATTCACTGTGTTATTGATTTATAGCTACACCAGGTGGACTGCAGTGGCTCGAATAGAGAGCCCACCACAACTTTCTTTGGAGCAACTGGAGATAGGCAACGAACACCAATCTAGTTCGTGATGTCCACATCCTGTGAAAGAGTGGAAAAATTAAATCTGATCGGTGTCTGTTGTGAAACTGGAAGTCTTTGGAGTATTTTTGTTGTGTTAAAACAGTTGAATAAGTGTTGTTGCTTTGGTCTTGTATTTTCTGGGCGTTACCAGTAGCCCTTGTCTACAGCCACGCTAGCCTGAAAGTGCCTGATCTCTGAAGCTAAGCAGACTCGGGCATGGTTAGTGCTTGGATGGGAGACCGCCTGGGAATACAAATGCCAGGTGAAGCAGGCTTTTTGGACAGCATGGTGGCTCAGTGGTTAGCACTGCCGCCTCACAGCGCCAGGGACCCGGGTTCGATTCCACCCCCGGGTGACTGTGTTGAGTTTGCACATTCTCTCCGTGTCTGCGCGGGTTTCCTCTGGGTGCTCCAGCTCCTCCCACAGTCCAAAGATGTGCAGGCTCGGTGGATTGGACATGCTAGATTGCCTGAAAGTGTGCAGGCTGGGTGGATTAGGCATAGGAAACGCAGGGGTGGGTCTGGGTGGGATGTTTTTCAGAGGTTCAGTGTGAACTTGATGGGCCGAATGGCCTGCTTCCACATTGTAAAGATTCTATGATTCTAATGACCCCTTTCCCTCCGTAGGCTGATGTGATGTTGAAAGCCTGACCTGTGTCTTTGAGGTGCTTCCCTGGTGCCTAATGGGTTTTGTCTCTTTTGTTTGACAGGTGTATGCATTACCCACAGTAATGGGTAAGCATGGCGATTTGAAATACATCTCTCCAGAAATGGTGAGTTGCGCTGCCAACCTGGAACTTATGTTTTATAACGGAGCTGGTGTGTCGGAGTGTGGTTGAGTGAGAGAAGTGGAGAGATTTCAAAGCAAATCATCTGGGCCGCAATCTTCAAATAAGACCCTCTGGGCCCTAGATTAGGAGATCCAAGTCTTTATCTGAGAAAGAGTGTGCAAATGCTGGGAGTTGAGCAAAGTGTGGGAGGGAGGAGTTTCTGTGTCTTGTTCTGCCTTGTTTTTGCAAGGGGCTGCTTTGTGATTGAGATGCTGCTGGTTAGATCTAAGAGTAGGCCTAAGTGAATATCAGGCTTTGTTGAGAGGGAGCAGCAGCAAGGTAAAGGTAAAGTCAGACCTTCATTTCTCCCCAAATCTGCTAGTTGTTAAAGGGGCAGAGATGGCAGTCAGTGGAGTGGTATGTTCCTCCTGTCAGATGTGGGTGATCAGGGACCATACCTGGCCGCTACATCTGCAGGTATTGTTAAATTGCTGTTGCTTTCTTAGCTCCTTTTGCTCTGTGCCATTTATATTTCAGGCTGTGACTCACTGGGATTGAGATCACAGAACGGTTTACAGCACAGAAAGGTAGCCTGCTGATTTTAACCCACAACATTGAGTCATGGTGTTTTCCCCAACCCCATGAACGTCACAGGTTAGGGTCAACTTTCCCATCCTTCCTCCAATTGGGTGGAGAGTAGGCTTTATCTTTGAATGTGGCAAACCAGCCTGAGGGATTGTCCCAGCAGTTTGAGTATATGAGGATATAGTAGTTTAAGAACAGGAAGCATCTATACTCTAAAGTCTGGCTTTCTCACAGATGGCGAAGGTTCTACATGGAGAATACGATCACCTTTTGGAAGGATTCTACATCGTTGACTGCCGCTACCCTTATGAGTTTAAAGGAGGACATATCCGGGTAAGTGCAGTGGATAGGAAAATGTTCTTGTTAAAAATGTGTGACCCTACATGTCTCCTCATGCATTACTCAGTAAAGAGACATTGAAACATAGAAAATAGCTGTAGGAGTAGGTCATTCGGCCCTTCGATACGATCATGGCTGATCGTTGCAATTTCAGTGTGGAGCTGGAAGAACACAGCAGGTCAGGCAGGAGCAGGAGAATTGACGTCTCGGGCCAGGACCCTTCCTCAGGACCCAGGCCCGAAACGTCGACTCTCCTGCTCCTCTGATGCTGCCTGACCTACTGTGTTCCTCCAGCTCCACATTGTATCGACTGTCTCCAGCATCTGCAGTTCTTGCTATTTCCGTGTAATCTCAGTATCCCATTCCCGCCCTCTCCCCGTACCCCTCGATCCCTTTAGCCACAAGAGTGAAGTCCAGCTCCCTTTTGAATATATCTAATGAACTGGCCCCCATCAGCTTCCTGTGGGAGAGAATTCCACAGATTCACCAGAGTGAAGAAATTCTTCCTCATCTCAGTCCTGCATGGCTTGCCCCTTATTCTTAAAGGATAGCTTGCTCTGACCAATTGTTAAGTTAGCAAATGGGAGCCCTGTCGTTGAGTAGCCACAGTCGGCCTCACTGTGGCTCTTTATTTTGTTGAACTCCCAACATATTCAGGATTTGAAGTAATATACCCCGTTGCGTGTGGGTCTGACTTATTGTGGATTTGCAGTTTGCGTTTTTGCCTTGATTGCAAATCCCAGTCTTGGAATAACTTTTCTCTTTCGGGCGGCTCCTGCTAACTCCTGCCTTTACTTTTCCCAGGGCGCCCTGAACCTGCACAAAGCTGACGACTGCATCGACTATTTCTTCCAGAAGCCTGTTGTTCCCAAATCTGACGACAAGAGGTTGATCGTCATTTTCCACTGTGAATTTTCATCGGAGCGCGGACCGAAGATGTGAGCCGCGTTAATTGTTTGCTCCATCTCCGTGGCGACTGTGTAGAGCACGATGTGAAGGGACTTGGCAAGGCCGTGAGCAGTGTCTGAATTTGCTGCTACTCGAACCTCAAGTGAAACCTTCAGCTGCTAGTTCAATGGTGGGGTTAGCTCGCCTCTCCAACAGAGGGCTCATTATCCCAAACTGAACCCTGTAATCTATCCCATCAATTAATGGCTCTAAAACCACATGGGACTGTGTCCACTTCTGGTCTCCCTGTTATAGGAAGGATGTTATTAAGCTGGAGAGAGTTCAGTAAAGCTTTGCCAGGATGTTGCTGGGAATACAGTTTGAGTTAGAACAACTGGCTGGATAAGCTGGGACCTTTTTTCCCACTGGAGTGTAGGTCACTGAGGGCTGCCCTTTATAGACATTTATAAAATCATGAGGGGCATAGATAAGGTGAATAGCAAGGGCCTTTTCCCTAAGGTGGGGCGGTTCGAAACTAGATGCTATATTTTTAAGGTGAGAGCAGAGAGATTTAAGATGGACCTGATGGGCAATTCTTTCTTCTCACACATTTAATGTGTGGAATGAACTTTCAGAGGAAGTGGTAGATGTGGGTACAGTTACAACGATTAAAAGACATTTGGATAAGTACATGAATAGGAAAGGCTTGGAGGGATATGGGCCAGGAGCAGGCAGGTGGGACTAGTTTAGTTTGGGATTATGGTTGGCATGGACTGGTTGGACCGAAGGGTCTGTTTCTGTGCTGTACAACTCTATGGCAGCAATGAGGTAGTTCTGTACTGACAGACACAACCTTTTAAGATGCAGGCCCCTGTGCGTGGATGTAAAGTAATCCTGCTATGTGAGCATGCGTGACCCACACTCTCTCCCACAAAGAAATGCGCATGTCCCATTCCTGTGGTATTAAAGCTGTAAGGACGGGGCTGCAGGTTTGCCAGGGCCAGTGGGATGGTACACAAAGTGCCTCGGTGAAAGGAACACCACCACAGAAATTTGCTGTGAAACTGATTTACCTGTTGAGGGGTTATGCTGCTGCGTTGCACATACCAATGTGGTTTACTTCATCTCCAAGGTGTCGTTTGCTGCGGGAGGAGGACAGAAATCTGAACGAATACCCGAACCTGTACTATCCAGAGCTCTACATACTGAAAGGAGGCTATAAGGCTTTCTTTCCTCAGTTCATGGTAAGTAATGGCTAGGAATATGGAGGGATTCTAGTGTAGCGCACTGGAAAAAAACTCATGACGAATTCAAGTGTCGTTTTATCACCTGGTTCTGTCTCCCAGGTTAAAAGAGCTACTTGCAGAGTCCCTAACCTAGACAGAACACTCGATCTAATAGGATGCTGCACTGTCGGAATGGCCATCCTTTTCAATGTCCCTCGAGCTCAGCCTTTGTTGATTTGAGCTAAAGCCAAACGATCCAGTGCCCCGGTGTGAAAGGGCCGCCAGTCCCGTCCAGTCCCGTCCCAGTGTTTTTGTCATGTAGTTTGGTCAATCCACCTTTTGTTGGAAGGCAAGTTCTGATATTGATACTGCCAACCTGCCTCACCCATTCTCTCTGATAGCAATCCTAGAATCCTTAGTGTTGGAACAGACCCTCAAGAGCCTCCCACCCAGACCCGCCACTGTATTTCCCATGGCTAATCCAACTAACCTACATGTCCCTGAACACTACGGGGCAATTTAGCATGGTTAATCCTCTGTAAGCTGCACATCTTTGGACTGTAGGAGGAAACCGGAGCACCCGGAGGAAACCCACGGAGACACTGGGAGAATGTGTAAACTCCACACAGACAGCTGCCCAAGGGTGGAATCGAACCCTGGTCCCCTGACGCTGTGAGGCAGCTGTGCTTACCACAGTACCACCGTGCCATCCCATGAGGGTATCTATTTGTGGGTCTTCATGCGGCTGACGAGTCCAACCCGGGGTCCACAGATTTGAATGCAATGTGGGCATTGCAGGCAGGGGACGGTGGGCGCAGGGGACGGTGGGCGGGCCTCCCTGACGTCCCGTCTGTTCTTGCACAAGACTCGCTCCTGTTCAGCAGCATGGTTGGAGGTGGTTTTTGTGGCGTCTAGCTCCCGGCAGGATAATGTTTCTCCAGTGATTTCGGTTCGTAGCCAAGTCCTCACAGTTGTTGATGTTGATGTTGATGATGATGATGATGTAGAATTTCTTGAGGTTGGTCCTCAAGTTATCTTTGAAGTGTTTTGTTTGACCATGAGGGCCATGCGGACCTCCCTTCAGCTGTCAGGACGTGATCTGTTTTGGGAGGCATGGTTTGGGCACTCAGATGGCATGGCCAGTCCATCAGAGTAGTGGTGATCCTCCAAGACACTGGTGTTAGCACACCTGTCTTTTCAGGTGATCCACGGGATTTTCTGTGGAGTTGTCCCAGTGCTTTAAGGTGCCTACTGCAGGTAGTCCACATTTCTGCTCCAGATAGCTGTGTGAGAAGAGCAACAGCTTTGCAGGCCCAGAAGTTTAATCTGTGCCTGTAGGTCATGGTTTTCAAAACACTTTTTTCTTCTGAGTCAGGGAGAGGCTCCACTGGCACAGCTTCAGTGACGTTGTGTTTCGATATCCATGAGATATGGGACGTGATCCACATTTTCAAGGGGATAGTTGTTGACCTTTATTGTAGGAAAGACTATTGGGTGATGGTTGATGGTGTACCAGAGGTTTTGTTTTAAGGGTAAGGCCTAAGATCGTATTTGCCTTGGCGCAAAGTGTGCTGCGATGGTGGTGTCGTCAGCATATTGAAACTCCAAGGTGGAGATCTCCCTCTCGGCCTTGAAGTTGGGGTTAAACAGCCCGCCGTTCATACGGTAAATGATTTGAATTCCCTCGGGCCGTTTTTGGCCAGGGAGGTGGAGGATGGCGGCAATGAAGGCGGTAAACTGGGTGGGTGCAATGACGCAGCCCTGCTTGATCCCCGTCTCCACGGTGAAAGGCTCAGACTCCAATTCACGGTTGCTCAGCACTGTCGCAGACATGCAGCATCCTGAGGAAGTTATCAGGGTACCCGCATCGTGACAGGATCCACAAGCGTGTTAGGAAAGTGGGCTGGGTATTCATGAATCGGAAGGCAGGAAGTTAGAATTTGTTGGTAATAATGATTGTGGGGAAAAGAGTGTCGTGGTCCCTTTACGAGCTTGTGTTTTGTCTGTGCTTGGAAGTTTACAAATGCAGGTGCACACAGACAGTGCCCGAATGGAAACATTTTGTATAGAACAGACAAGCAGCATTTCTTTCCCAAGACAAGAGGTGTGAATTTGGCCAATTAATTTAAACCAAGCACCTCGATACGGAAAGCCAATTGAATTTAAATCTGATGGCGTGGACAACCTGAAACACTCATGTTATAAGAATTTGATTATGTCATCATGAGTGTATAAGGCAAAGGTGTTTGGAAAATCAGGCATCGTCTTCCACCTCCTGCCAGAGTCAGCACCTTTCGGCTCTCAGAGAAAGCCCATCGCATTCATCAAGGGTACCATGGTATTTTAGCTCAAAGTCCTCATTGAAGAAATTATAGAGATAAAACATCCCTGACAGCAGAGTTAACGAAAGAATGGCGTTTGAAGAGAGCGGAGACGACAAAATATTCCAGAAGACAGTCTGTGTGAATTTATAGAGATTAAGTTATAATTCATTGTTCTCTTATTAATTGGGTTTATTAAGTTGGATTTGTTTATTTGTACAGTATTCCAGTAGAATTTAGATCAGTTTGGAAGTAATTAGTAGTCTAAGGGGGAAATTGTCGGTTCGTTAGTCATTTTGTTAAATTGTTCATTGTTGGGTTAAATAAATAAATTGTTTCTTGTTACTTGTAAAGTGGAGATTAGGGGGATTCTTTCCTTTAACCACTTTTTTTAAAATCAGATTGAGGGGAAAGGTGAGTTTCTCTGGGTGTTTCGGGGGTAGTTATTAGAAGGGAACCTCTAATCCCGTCATAACAGACCGGGGCTTGTGTTTTAGTTTAATTGTCATAGGGGTTCGACTATTCCCCATCTGGAACGAGAGACCCTGGTGACGAACTGTGTCAAAAGCCTTAGTTAGGTTGATGAGGGCCATGTAAAACAGTTGTTTGTGTTCTGGCATGTTTTCTTGTAATTGACGTGCTGTGAAAGATCCTGTCTGTTGCACCTCTAGACAGGTGAAGACCACACTGATTCGGGGAGTATTTCTTCAGCTAAAGGCAGAAGTTTATTGGTGAGGACACGTGCTAGTACCTTGCCAGTGGTTGCCAGAACCCTCTGTAATTCCCACAGTCAGCCTTGTCACCCTTTTTTGAATCTGGTCACAATCGGAGCATCCCTGAGCTCAGAGGGGAGTTCTTCTTTGAGCCACATCTTCGAGAGCAGAGCACGGATGTGTTCACGGAGCTGTGGGCCACTCTCCTTTAGAATCTTTGCAGGAGTACCATCGAGACCATCAGCCGCCTTGTTTCTTAGGCTCCTTATGCCACCTTGTACTTTGGTCGCACTGGGAGGTTCTCCCATGTCACCCTGCATGGATCTCTGGGGGATATGGTTGATGACTTCCACATTAACATTGGCATTATGATTGAGGGGTTCTTGGAAATGCTGTCTCCAGTGGCTGTTTAGTGCCTTTCTGTCCGTCTTTAGAGAGCTGGGTGTTTAGACCATGGTGCCTTGGACCACATACTGTCGTGGTGGTGCTGAAGAAGCCTCCTACCATTTTTGTTTTTGAGCTCCATTACCTTCTTTTAGACATCAGCCTTAGCTTTCGCATGGGCCCTTTAGGCCTTGCAGTTGATAGCCTTCTGTGCCCAGCAGAATGATATCCTTCTCTTGGAGATGAGCAGTTCAATTTCTGCGCCGTTCTCATCGAACCGGTCCCGATGGTTTCTGTACCCGTGGGTGTTACTGCAGGCACCGAGAATGGCTGTTTTAAACAGACTCCCGTGTTCTCTTATGTCCTCGGGGGTGGGTATTCCCGAGGTAGTTTTTTTTTTGCGAGTGAGGCCTGTAGATGTGACCCTGTCACCCAGGCCCTCAATGTTGAATCTTGGCCGGCTCTGCTTCTTCTGAATCCTCCTCTTTCTGCCTAGTCTGATGGACATTGTGGAGCGGATAGGCCAATGATGAGTCCTGCAGTCATCTGAGCTGATCATATCCCGGGTGACATTCACATCCCGATGCTCCCTGGAGTGAACACTGACATAATCAGTGAGGTGCCATTGTTTCAAGCGTGGGTGCATCCTAGATGCTTTGAATTTTGTTTTTTTTTTGATGGAAGGGTATTTTTGTGATGGTGACCATTTTATGAGAAGGACTACATTAGAGTTGATGTAGCCAATACCTTCGCTTCCCATGATGCCATTCCACAGGCTGTGGTCTTGACCAACCCTGGCATTGATGAATTACCTTGTTCCCCCTTTTTGCGGGGGTGGTGTGTGCTTGACAACAGTGTGTCAAGGTTGGTATAGAAAGCCTCCTTTAACGTCCTGCTCAGAGTCCAGTGTTGGGCCATAGCTGCAATGTGACTGTCTGGGAACAGCAGACGAATGGCCATGAGTCGGTCGTGGATCCTCCTGGGAAGCTCAGGGGCAACTGCTGAGCTGGCTCTTAATTGTGAATCCAACACCGTAAAATCTGGGCTTCCCTTTTCCAGAAGAAAGTGTAACCACCTTTGTCACCTCTCTCTCGGTTGCCCTTCGTCTGCAAGGCGGGTTTTTGTGAGGAACAGAAACAAGTTGCTGGAAAAGCTCAGCACCTGTGAAGGGGGGAGAAAGAAATCCAGCTAACATTTCTGGTCCGGTGACCCTTCCTCGGAAAAGCAGCTCCGCCGATCTGGCATCTCACCGGTTCCCTGGCTACGATCCCAGTTCTTCTCTCTGGTTGACCACTGGATCCCTTGGAGTTCTTGCATGCCAAGCTCAAGTTTGTTTGTTTTTTTTTATCATTCTCCGTTTCCGGCTGTATGTGGGTGATCCCTCTGGGTGAGGTGATCCAGTCGGGAGTTTTTTTTTGTTTTCCCAAGCTCCCTTCCCCTACTCGTGAGAGCAGAGCAGATCCTAAATGGGGCCTGTCCAGTCATGGGCAATAGCTGCGGAAATGCTCTATCTGCCTCGTGCATGAGCAAGGTGGCAGAATCTGACACCCACCAGCTAACGTATCCATTTGTGACCAGGGGGTGCCCTCCCACCACTAGCTGGTCGCCCCGGGACCTTTTGCCGGGATGTAGGTAGGACTGGTATGTCTTGGGAGGCCCAACGTCTTTTTTTTTTAAACGTGGGAAGGCCCACACAGCCACCATGTTGACCTTGGCAGATAGGGGGTCAAAGCCCAGTGGCATGGAAACCATGATAACTAGTGGTCCAGTCACTGTAGCAGCTGTTGTGATGCTCTAATTCAAGTCCAGCCATCGTCCTCCGCTGATGAGGTAACCATGGATTGCGTTTGGTCTGGAACCCCCGACCCTTGACCTTACCATCATGGCTGACCCTGCCAGGACCTACGCTCAGGATGGTTTTAGCTTTCGGGTTCCGAGGTAAACGCAAGTCCCTCCACCACAAGGTGACGATCCTTGAGGGCTTTTCTCCAAAAGGTACAGCAAGTGTCCAGGACCTGGCAGCCCTTTGGAGACAGATACACCAAAAATCCTGCTCAGTATTCAACAACTTTGTGGCTCGCAGCTTTGTTACCCCATCTAACAGGGGATTGTAGTTTTTTTAAAAAAAAGTCAACAGTAAATGTTTTGAGGAGCAATAAGAATATTTTTAAGGCAGCATTGTCACTCTTGTGACTTTTTTTACCTGCTTATGGAAGCATGGAGGGCAGGAAACTGCTCTATTTTCTACTGTGTCAAATGGGAAATGGCTTTAATTAAAGTGGTCAGCACTAGTGCTGTGAGGCAGCAGGGTCCCGGGTTCAATTCTCCCCTTGGGCAACTGTCTGTGTCTGTGTCCTCTGGGTGCTCTGGTTTCCCCTCAGTCCAAAGATGTGCGGGTTAGGGTGGATTAGCCATGGGAAATGCAGGGTTATGGGGATAAGGTGGGATGCTCTTTGGAGGGTCAGTGCAGACTCAATGGGCATAATGGCCTCTTCCTGCACTGTGTGTAAGGATCTTCTGTAAGTTCTCAACTGAAGAGGAGTCCCACTGCGAAATATGTACTGCATGCACCATCTTTTGAGGCCGTTGCTTTTATGTTGAGGTTTCCTGGGTGCTGGGGGGAGGGTTTTGATCAGAAATGCCATTCACATCTCCATGAGATTCCTCACCATGAACTGACTATAGATTATTGCCTCCTCCACAACTCTGGACTGCCTGACTTTTGTTTTTTTTTTGTTTTTTTGAAACCCCTTCCTTCCCCATACTACAGAATTACTGTGACCCTCCAACGTACTGTCCCATGGACCATGAAGACTTCCAGGAGGAGATGCTGAAGTTGCGGAAAAAGAGCAAGTCCTGGGCGGGAGAGCGTCGGAGGCGGGACCTCATCTCCAGATTGAGGAAGATGTGATTGGCTGAGAAGAACACCCAATGGGAACCCCTCTTGCCTTTTTGATTTGCACTGCCCTTCCCAAGGTTGCCTCCAGCCTGGCACCAAACTGCTGCTGATCTTCCAATTCTCACGTGACTCAACACAGCAGAGAAAGGTCTCTATGGCCATCTGAATCCTGCAATGTCAAAAAGCAGGAGGATTATTGCCATGAGTAGAATTGGAACAGAATAGGTTTGGAATATCAAGAGTTTTTTTCTTTGTTTTAACGCTGCTATCATTTCAAAGAAATTTATTTTAAGGATAACCATCTTAGTAGAAGCTCCTATTTTTTGACCTTTTTTTTGTGATGTTCTTTCTCCCCTACCCCCTTGGTCAGCACAGATTGGTAGCCTCGCCAATGCATTGCCGTGCTGTAAATTCCCAATCTTATGATTCAGTTAGGAGACCAGCTGTATCTCCACCTCTTTCCTCTTCCACCCCACAGTTACCCCACAGGCAGGATTACAATGCTGGGATCTGCCAGTTACAGTAGACTTAGCCTGTGCACCATGAGCAGATGCTGCCAAACCATATTTGTCGTATTCTGTCCCTTCACAAGAACAATTCCATATGGTACCTGCCCCTGGACCCCCTCAGAACATCTGTGGTAGATGAGTGTCATGCAATGAGCAGTGACTGAGATGGGCTGCTATCACAGTCCTGTTTCTCACTATATCGCACCATGGATAAACTGGCAGCTTTCTGTACCTGACCGCTATCAAAGTGAGAAGATCTGAAGAAGAAGACACTCAGCTGTCTTCTGAACACTAAGCAAGAAGATTTAAAAAAAAAAGTTGGAAATTCTCAGCAGATCTGACAAAACCTTTTTGGAGCCTTGTGACTTTTGTCCGTTTCATAAGAACTGCCTCGCAAGGTTAATTTTGTTTTTCCTCTCTCCACAGAAGCTGCCAGACCTGCTGAGTTTCTCCAGCTTTCTCTGTTTGTTTGTTTCAGATTTCCAGCACCTGAGAGATTTTGCTTTTTGCTTTTGAAAAAGATCTGAACAGGCTGCCATGAGAAAGTGACATGGCGGGACTTGCGCTGTGATGGTTTGATGGTGAAGTACACAGTGGCATGACCTGATCCTGATCCTGGTCCTGCCTGATGTATATGTCGCAGCTGGGATCACTGGACCGTGAACTTTACAACATGTTACTTGTGACCTCCTCTCCAGTGCATCACCCTGTTGCCTTGGTCAATATCAACTAATGCAATACAACACTTTGCTTCCCCAACAGTGGTGTACTTGCCCTGCTCACATGTACCAGCATGTACTGTGGGTCTGATATCCAAAATACTGTCAGTATCTGTGTATAATGCAGAAGAAAACACTTGGCTCTTACAACAGCACACTGGTTTCCATGACTTTTATATGAATGAAATTGCTAGAATCTTGACTTCCTTGCCATAAGAGCTCTGTTTTCTGCTTCCAGGTACAGAAAACTAAAAAGAATTGTGATCCTAATTACTGAAAATCGGTAACAAGGCTAACTTTTTTTAAAATTTAAAATCCTTTTGTTTTCTACCCGCCTCCTCCTCCTTCTGAAGTTGCATCTCTCGCTAAACTACCATTAGCCGTCCATACAAGTACCCATTCTCCCTAAGGACTGGATTGCATTGAACTCTTCTGCTCCATTGTCAAAACTTTTTGGGGGGGTGAAATTTGTTCCTGTCTTCCTCTGTTGGCCAATGAATTCTTGCAAAATTCACTGGATAGTGAACACAGATTTTCCCAGTTTCCTGATGCTGCTGCACTATCCCAAAGTTTAAGTGTCAGCATAATGCTAGAGGTCCAACTGCCACCTTGCGAAAACGTAAGAACTGGGTACATTCGGAACCCTCTTTGCCTTTTACATCATTTAGGAGTCTTTGGAAGGGTCAGATTTTACTGTTGTATTTAAACCCATGTAACCTAGGCTAGTGACTAGCAGTTTGATTCCAGTTTTTAACTGGACATGGAATTTTTTTTAAATTGAAGGAGCACCGCTCTGAAAGGGTTTTTATTTCAAGAAAAAAGTAATGTAATGTAGCACAAGTGTTTTTAAAGTTTTAATAATTTGATCTTTTATTTCAAGGGATACACATTACAGTCATGCTAAACGGGCTGTAATAATGAGTAGGATGCTGGGGAAAAAAAACTGTTCAGAAATGCTGATTCAGAGTAACCGGACAGAAGAAACGTGTGTAAATTAGATTGAGGTGAGGTGTGTTCGCCTGGTTAATGGCCAATGGAAATACTTGTGGCATTGACCATTTCTCTTCGTTGGTTTCTATTGTTTGGGAAACCACATTAGGTGCATCTTTTAAAAAAAAAACATAGAGCAGCCCATTGCTGTTGGGAATCCATCTTCTACTCTCACACCCGTCTCCCTTCCAATAGCGAGAGCACTGCTTCAGCAGTGCTAGCTCCAGCCAGTATTGTTAAAACCCTTGAGCAACAGTATTAATATTCAACTTAGATTACACAAAATGTGCTTTGAATCATTTCACATAAATTAGATCTTGATTAGGTAGTAGACATTTTCCCGTACGTGGCAATGATTACTTTCCATTGAAAAGTTCAGGATCTATCTTTGCTGGGATCCATGATGTAGTTGATCAGATCCTGTGACCTATTGGTGCTATGGGACATTAAGCATTAAGTGACTTTCCCGATTTGTGTGCCGGCGTGCACAGTCTGCTTATTTCTTCATCCAGTATCTACATCGATGACATCTTCCTGCATTGCCTTTGGACATGCATCAGAGTTAGAGGGCTCAGCGACACGTGTGTTATTCCTGAGACCATGTGTTTGCTTAGGGGCAGGTTCCCTTCTCTTGAGTTCACCTAGCCCTTTGTGATTGGCCCATCTCCGGGACATTGTGTTTGGTTTCGGAGTAACTGTTTTGAAGCCAACGGAGAGATCTCGTTCTCTCGCTCTCTAACTGAGATTGTGATATCCATGATGAAAGGAGCAGCGTCAGGGTCAAACACGGTCCTCATGGACCAGTGGTACCTAGCTAGAAAGTAATTGAATGCAGATAGTTGTCTCTGGGTGATAACTATCCTCTTAACCACGTCCTTTTGTCCCTTAGAAAGCAAAGGACATCTTACTCCAAAACATTTCTAAAGCTTTATAATCAACTTGCTATCTCTGTATTGCTGTCTGAGGTTTTCTTTTAATATATTGTATTGTAGTTCCTACATTTTAGGTCAGTGCTACGCATTGGTGTATTCTTCCGTAAATATCGTTTTTGTTGATCTTTCTTATGTGGTCATCAATTTTCTTCTTTTACTTTTAATCCTCCTTTTAACTGTCACTGCCTTTTTAAAATATCAAACTCATAATCTCCAGTGTCCCTGTTTGATGCAATACTGAGCCAGTTAGAGCCACCAGATGCTTGCCAGTATTTCAGTTCAATATCTGTGTGTAAACTATTTTAATTTAAATGTAACTTGCAGTCTGGGGATGGTGATACACTTCAATTTGGTGCGTGCAATAAAACCTGACCATTTGGAAGTGAGCCTGTTTGGTCTTGATCATGAATTCTTAATATGTGTTATTATAGAAATTACTTAAGAACACAAGTAGTCTTATTTCCGTTTCTTTATTCTTGCCGTTTGAGCTGGTTTCAATCCGGGAAGATGATTGTGGTGAAGGCTGAAGGAAAGAGAGCTTCACCAAACTTTGTCATCCCTGGATGGTTTGTGGGGCAATTTAAGTTTGTTTTCCACTAAATAAAAACCGAAAGAACTGCGGATGCTGTAAGTCGGGAACAAAGAAAACAGAAGTTGCTGGAAAAGCTCAGCAGGTCTGGCAGCATCTGTGAAGAACAAAATCAGTTAACGTTTCAGGTCCCGTTACCCTTCCTGCTCTGAAGAAGAGTTGCCAGACCCACAGCGTTAACTCTAATTTCTCTTCACAGGTGCTGCCAGACCTGCTGAGTTTTCCAGCAACTTCTGTTTTTGTTTCTGAGTTTGTTTGATTTTTTTTTCCCTCAGCCTATTGATCTGGCAGTCTTTAGCAAGTATCTGATGATAGTGGAGCAGGTTTAATTCTTTTTCCCTCCTGACTCCCGATTTAGTCTTTTCTTTCACACAAGGTATTTCCAAAGGTGCATGAGCTGATGCAGTGAATGTGGGACCAGAAGCTGCTAATGGGCTAGTATTTAGGGTGTTGGCTCCTCAGAACTTAAATTTGAGATTTCAAAATTGCCAACCTTTGTCTTTTTTTTTGTCAAAATTTGTCACCTGTCGCTGTTGCTGGCTAGGCCAATGTTCATCTCTCCTGGTTCATGTTAAAGTGAGCTGCTGCCTTATCCCAATGTATTCCAGGTGTCACAATCGACCCACAACGTTGCTAGAAAGGGATCCTTGGAAAAGGGGGTAGACTTACACATAGCGGTGTCCCTGTGTCTTTGCTACCCTTGTCTTTCGCGTTGTTAGAGGTTGCTGCATGAGAATTCCTCGAATCTGGTTTTCACGAGGCCGGCTGTACTATTGCTCACTATGGGATCTATTTTTGCTGCCATCATTTCATAGAGTCATACTGATGCACAGCACAAACAGATCCTTCGGTCCAACTTGTCCATTCCAACCACATCCTAAATTAATCTAGTCCCATTTACTAGCATTTGGCCCATATCCCTCTAAACCCTTCCTATTTCATGTACCCTCCTAAATGTTATTTTTGTACCAGACTCTACCATCTCCTCTGGCATGGAAAAAGTTGCCCCTTAGGTCCCTTTGAAATCTTTCCCCTCTCACCTTAAACCTATGCCCTCTAGTTTTGGACTGCCCCACTCTGGGGAAAAGACCTTGGCTATTCACCCTATCCATGCCCCTCATGATTTTATAAAGCTCTATAAGGTCACCCCTCAGCCTCCAACACTCCAGGGAAAATAGCCCCAGTCTATTCAGCCTCTCCCTATAACTCAAATCCTCCAACCCTGGCAACATCCTTGTAAATCTTTTCTGAGTAGTGATCTACAGGCCCACTTGGTCTGATGTGGTAGAGGAAAACCATTTGTTATTCTGTTGGGAAGAAGCTCTTATTGCATGTCCATGACTAAGTACATGTTACAATGCTGACAGAGTCCTGGAGGTCTACAGCACAGAAAAAGGCCCTTTGGCCCATCATCAAGTCTACATCAGGCAAAAATGAGCACCTAACTATTCTAATCCTATTTTCCAACACTTGACTCGCAGCCTTGTATACCTTTAATGCGTGCTAGAAATGTATTAGCTGTAATCTCTTCAATGGGAAAACCATTTGGATTGATGGCTTTTTGTGTGTAGAAGCATGTGTCAATTAGTTGGAGATAAGGTGTAGAGCTGAATGAACACAGCAGGCCAAGCAGCATCAGAGGAGCAGGAAGGCTGACGTTTCAGGCCTAGACCCTTTCTACTATCTGTCAGTTAGTTTGGTTTTTTTTTAAAAGAAGGTTGTTTTTTTTATGCTGGTGCCAATTCAAATACTGTTGTGACGAGGAAATCAATGCTTTCCTTGTGTGTTGTAGCTTAAATTTAATGAATAGTTGATAACTTTTTTTGAGGATATTGAAAAATTCTTTTGTGCAAGTCTGATCACCTCATACCAACAGAAATGGAAGGTGATGCTTTTAATTGGGCATCTGACAGATGGATAGTGACAGACCTGAGGAGTTCCTGGACTTTACATTAACTTCTTCCACATCCTAAGCCCTTCTATCAAGCCTGTATGACTTTGTAATGGATTGTGTTTAAGATACTCTTCGACATTGAACCTTGGCAGTTCCTTACACCAACAGTCACTGTTTTGGAAGGTGCTGTTGGGTTGTTGCTGCAGTGCATCTTGTTGACTGTACACAAGTCCATCTCTCTCACCACTAGCTGGTGGAGGGAGTCCATGTTTAAGGGCTTGGAGTTGCAGCACTGAAACTGGGAATATCCCAGCCCTTCAAGGCATTGCATTTGGCAGTGCACCTCAACAATCAACCACCCTCTATCTCTGGCACTGTCTCTGCTCTACAGAAGCATCTATCTGTGTCCATTATAAATTTTAATTGGTACAAAGTCATTGCTGTCGTTGCCTTGAGGACACAAAAGCAGAAGTGATTGAGGGATCATCTGTTCTCTAACATATTTTAAGCTGCATTACTTGTGTGTGAAATGTGATCAGACTGCTGCCTGACATGACACAATACCCACCTTTTTTCAACAGTATAGTTTCCATAAGGTGAGGAGCAGCTAGTCTGACCATGTTGGGGCTGTGTAAATGTTAGCAGTTTTCTTTCTGCGACACTCAATTACTTTTCCTGCTAATGATAGGAAATGCCATATATCAGCTCCTGTTCACAGATTCTTCAACTAGCATTCGTTGGCCGCCTGCATGGGCTGGCACAGTGGCTCAGTGGTTAGCACTGCTGCCTCACAGCGCCAGGGACCCTTGTTCAATTCCACCCTCAGGCCACTATCTGTGTGGAGTTTGCGTGTTGTCTGCATGGGTTTCCTCTGAATGCTCAGATTTCCTCCCACAGTCCAAAAATGTGCAGGTTAGGGTGGATTGGCCATGCTAAATTGCCCTGTAGTGTCCCAGGGCTGGGTAGGCTAGCCATGGGGGAATGAATGGTTACAAGGATAGGGTAGAGGGGTGGGATGTTCTTTTTGGAGGATCAATGTGGATTCTGAGCCGAATGGCCTGCTTCTACGCTGCAGGTATTCTATTCCAAATCCACTCTCACTCCAGGTTAGCATTTCCTCTGTATTCCTTCCCACTGACCTGTCTCTGTACAAATTGACCAATAATAGGATGATTTGTGAGCAATTCTCGGGAATTTCATTCTGTGTACATTTAAGGATCGCTTTGACATTTTTTTTCTTGAGTTTCCCAAATGTATCAAAGACAGTCTCTAGTATAAATGTTCACTGCTGGTAGATTCCACGTTTACGTTGCTACTTCGCAAAAACTGCATATGTAAATTCGACTTTTTGTTTGTAAATCTCACAGCAGACGCAAATATTTCACCCCTGCGTCCTCCTGCTAGTAACCAATAGTGATGTTTATCTATCGTTACAAGTCTCTCTTAGATTTACAGCTGCATTTTTGGCTGTGAGCTACAATCATTGCCATTTTCTCACTACTCAGCTAGTTACACCTTTGGTTACTGAGATGTTTGAAACGGGTTGTGTTCTGTATCCCCACAGAGGTTAACAATGAGAAAGAAGTCTGTTTTAAGAGTAGGTGTTGGTTGAAATGAAGTACAGGAGTTAGGAATCCCCTTTTATTTCCTGGCTGTGTTTTTAAAGTTAGACTTGAATCTTTTGGATGCTTCTCTCGGTTCTCTCGGTTCTCTCTCTTTTCTTAAAATTTTAAACAGCATCTTGAAATTATTGCACAGGTCCTGGCACATGCATGTTGACGCGTACACATCCAGATCTTTCTACCCCACACAGAGGAATGATAGAGATGCTGGTGGTGGAAGGTTAATCTAGATGTCCATCACCACACTGCCTGCAATGGAATAGGGTGCTCAGCTTTCACCCCTGCATTTTTTGACGGATTGACAGTTCACTACTGCTGCTGCTCAAAGGAAGCAGCAATAAATCCCTCTTCCTGTTGTTAATTCTGATTTGAGAAATAGCTGCTTTCCTCATTCCTTGCTTCCGCATCTGTCCAAGTAAAGTGACAGCCCTGTGTCCTGCATTCAGTTACAACTGTGCACTCCTTCAGCATTCTGATTTTCAATCTCACACTCTTACAGCTCCAAGGATGGTGCAAAATGTGCACGTGATAATGTATAAATCCAACTTAAGAGATTCCTTAACTGTACTGTTATGGACAAGCTTTGTTTGGGCACAAATGCATTGTTTGGAATGATAGTTAATTGTCATTTGTCCATTGTTACAGGTCCCTCTTAGATTCACAGCTGTATCATTGACTGTGAGCTATAATTGTCACCATTCCCTCACTACTGAGCCAGTTAGACATTTTCATTACTGACTTTGTCTGGAGAGGTTTCCAAAGAGAGGCTGTTCCTATTAAGTGCTGGTACCAGGGCTAAGGGCCACAGATTTACAGTTTTGTGCAAGACAAACAGGCAGAAGATGAGGAAGCAGTTTTTACATTGAGTGCTGTGCAATGACTTCTACTTGCTGCCTACGAGGGAAGTGGAAAGAGAGACAATAAATAATTTCAAAAGGGGATCTAATGGTCGCTTGAACATAAGTAATTGATAAGACTATGGGGATAGAGTGAGTGACGAGTGGGACTGACTGACTGTCTCTACGTAGACTTGGACAGGATAGAGCCATACAGTGTCTGTCCTTTTAAAATCCCATTAAAGCCCCCTTCTTCTTTTGGGACAGGTTTTGGTAATTCCTTACCAAACTTTTCCCTCAGTTGTAGCCTGGACGGTTGACTGACATCTCCATGTGGACAGCTGATGAGGAATTTTAAAACTGGTTTCCAGATGGCAATCAAGTAGGCAGTCCTTATCCACTCAACAGAAGTCTGCTGTATCTTTCCC